GGAAAGAGAATATGATAAACCAGAAACAAAGCAACAGAGAAAAGTAAAAAGACCTATAGCTATTGAGATATTGGACTTAGCAGGCAAGTTCTTTAGCAAATATTGAGTATTCAACAAACCATAATTGAATGGCTGCTAAGGGTCAGGTACCTGGGATAGATCAGATAGTTCTGGTTGTGTTATTACCCATATGACTTCAAATACCACCTTTTGAAAGACAGCACCTAACAATTCCCAATTGTTTTAAACTTTTAGAGTATTCTTAGAATTATTGGATGTCTACTTTGATTTTAATTGGATATATCCTTTCAGTTTAGAGTGAGGGACTGTGGGCTCTATATAGATTTTACAATTAAACAAATGAGATAAACTATTTATCCTCTGAAAGAGATGGGATTAGTTATATTCTTTTTTTTCACATTCTTTTTTTTAATTAAATCTTTATTGTTCAGATTATTACATTAGTTACTCTTTTTTCCCAACATAACTCCCCTCCACCCAGTTCCCACCCCACCCTCCGCCCTCACTCTCCACCCAGTGTCCTCATCCATAGGTGCATGATTTTTGTCCAGTCTCTTCCTGAATCTCCCACACCCCTTTCCCCCCCAAGAATAGTCAGTCCATTCCCTTTCGATGTCCTTGATTCTATTATGATCACCAGATTATTTATTCACTTGATTCGTAGATTCACTTGTTGATAGATGCATATTTGTAGTTCATAATTTGTATATTTACCTTTTTCTTCTTCTTCCTTTTCTTAAAGGATACCTTTCAGCATTTCATATAATACTGGTTTGGTGGTGATGAACTCCTTTAGCTTTTCCTTATCTGTGAAGCTCTTTATCTGACCTTCAATTCTGAATGATAGCTTTGCTGGATAAAGTAGTCTTGGTTGCTGGATCTTGGTACTCATCACTTTGAATATTTCTTGCCACTCCCTTCTGGCCTGCAAAGTTTCTGTTGAGAAATCAGCTGACAGTCGTATGGGGATTCCCTTGTAGGTAACTGAGTTTCTTTTTCTTGCTGCTTTTAAGATTCTCTCTTTGTCTTTTGCTCTCGGCATTTTAATGATGATGTGTCTTGGTGTGGTCTTCTTTGGATTCCTTTTGTTTGGGGTTCTCTGCACTTCCTGGACTTGGAAGTCTATTTCTCTCACCAGGTAGGGGAAGTTTTCTGTCATTATTTCTTCAAATATGTTTTCAATATCTTGCCCTCTCTCTTCTTCTGGTACCCCTATAATTCTGATGTTGGTACGCTTGAAGTTGTCCCAGAGGCTCCTTACACTATCTTCATATTTTTGCAATCTTTTTTCTTTTTTCT